CAGCATGTCAAGGGAGCTGCAAATTTTGAACAAGAGAGGCAGCAAAAGATGAGAAAGACTCGCCCTCGCCCCCCCCCCCCAATAATAAGCGAGATCCAGATCGACCTACCCTTTGACCCTCAGCAGTCGGCATCCAGCGGTGAGGCAGAGCGGCACCACATCGCTGTGAGCACTGTGGATACAAGGGAAGTCTCCGGTAAAAACAAGAAAGGTCAAGCACGCTGCAAGGATGAAGACACAGAATCGAGTAAGCACATTAATGACCTCAAGGCTGAGATACTGGTGATGAAGAAAATGTCACGGCCACAAACTCCTCCTCGCTACAGGCCGCCCGCACGCAGAGCCTGTCAAGAGTCCGGCAGAGATGAGTCGTGAAGCCATTGTTTCTGGTGTGGGCAGGAGGGACACCTCTCTTGCCGCTGCAGACAGCAGGGAAACGAGAGGGGGCTGCCAGGTCGGGGTCGGCAGTAGCCCCATTGAAGAGGTCCTCAGTTAGCAAAACAACTCTGTGGACACCGACAGGCAGCACACACCCTGATGGGCCATCCCCTGCCACCCCTCTGAAGCTACCGCTACCATGCCAGGCAATCCTCCCCTCTCAACGCAAGACCAGGCTGATTAATCTGATCGGTGAGCGATGTCTAATACAATGGTTTTTTGATGAGGTGCCAGTGGACGCACAAGCCAGTATTATTAATGAAGAATGGAGAAAGACTCATCTGCCCCATCGTCCAATGCGCCCCATTGAAGAACTGTTAGGTCTAGGTACTTCAGACTTCCTCAAGACCAAGGCTCATGATCATTGCTCACATCAGCAAGAATCATCATTCCATCCGGGGCTTCACCAAAATGAGCCATAAGAACCGGAACAACGCCATGTAATGTAACAACATACAAAGTAAAATCTCCATCTAAACCCTCTTCTAGCCTTCGGCAATCAGGATTCCCCTTTTGGTCGGCAAAACTCTGTGAGAGTCTGATGACTAAAACTATTTCCTGGGGCATTTTGCCCCATGGAGTCTCAGATACGTTGGGCCATCGTATTTCTTGAGGAGGCAAACGACTGGCACCACTTGTTAGTTGTTGTTGTGATAGCTGTTGTTGTCAATTATCATGAAGACAAATAACACTTACCACTGTTGCTTGGAGAGACGAGGCAATGAGAAACTCCGATGTTGAACTGAAAGGTGTTTAGAATGAACTGAGTCCACGCGTCTGACGTTACGTTCAGGAGCAGTCGGTCACGATTGTCCCTCAGATGACTTTTAGGCAATGAACACTTTCAATAATACAAATATTTGTAATCATTACAGAAACATTAATATGTAATCTGTCATTACACGGCTAAAAGGAGATGACAAAAACGGGAGAGACGCAGTGCAAAGCCGATATAAAAATATATTTATTTATGTAAAGTAACAAAACCTAAAGTAAAGCAAATATGAGTTGTGTACGTCATGTTAGTGTGGGTGCTTGATCATGCAAGGTAGAGTGTTGTGAACATAAATTACATTACATTACATGTCATTTAGCTGACGCTTTTATCCAAAGCGAATTAGGTGCATTCAACCATAGGGTACAAACTCAGAAGAACAAGAAACAAGAAGGTGCAATTTCGTCAAATAAGCCAATTTACAATTTGCTATAGATGAGTGACGTTACAAGTAAAATTTAAGTGCTACAATTTGAGTCTTTAGTCGAGGTAGAGTCTGAAGAGGTGTGTCTTTAGTTTGCGGCGGAAGATGTGAATTCTCTCTGCGGTCCTGGTGTCTTCAGAGAGCTCGTTCCACCATCTCGGAGCAACGACAGCAAAGAGTCGTGATCTCGTCGAGTGTTTTGCTCTCAGTGAGGGAGGGACGAGCAGTTTATCAGATGCAGAGCGGAGAGTGCGGGTTGGGATGTAGGGTTTGACCATGTCCTGGATGAAAGCTGGACCCGATCCATTCACAGCATGGTACGTGAGCACCAATGTTTAGAACTGGATGCGGGCAGCCACCAGTAGTCAGTGAAGAGAGCGGAGTAGTGTGGGAGAATTTAGGAAGGTTAAAGACCAGTCGAGCTGCTGCATTCTGGATGAACTGCAAAGGTCGAATGGCGGTAGCAGGGAGACCTCCCAGGAGGGAGTTGCAGTAGTCCAAGCGTGAGAGGACAAGACCCTATATCAGTACCTGCGCTGCCTTCTGAGTGAGAAGAGGACATATTCTCCGGATGTTGTAGAGCGTGTATCTACAGGATCGTGTTGTCGCAGTGATGTTGGGAGTCAGGGAGAGTTGGCTGTCGAGTGTGACGCCGAGGTTCCTAGCGGTTAAAGTGGGCGTTAACACAGAGTTGCCAAAGTTGATCGTCAGGTCCTGGGTCGGAGAAACTTTTCCCGGAAAAAGAAGTAGTTCAGTCTTGTCGGGGTTGATTTTCAAATGGTGGGCGGACATCCACTGAGAGATGTCAGTCAGACAGGCAGAGATCCGAGCCGCCACCTGGGTGTCCGAGTGAGGGAAGGAGAGAATTAGTTGGGTGTCATCGGTATAGCTGTGGTAGGAGAAACCACGCGGGCGAATGACAGTGCCGAGAGAGTTGGTGTTGAGCGAGAAGAGAAGGGGACCCAGGACGGAACCCTGAGGAACTCCTGTAGTAAGAGGACAAGGTTCCGACACAGATCCTCGCCAGGTTACCCGGTAGGTGCGACCGTCGAGGTAGGACGAGAGAAGGGAGAGAGCATAGCCTGAGACACCAAGTTCCTGAAGGGAGGAAATAAGGATCTGGTGGTTGACTGTGTCAAATGCAGCAGAGAGGTCCAGAAGGTTGAGGACAGAGGAGAGATAGGCGGCTCTAGCAGTGTGGAGTTGCTCTGAGACAGCAAGGAGAGCAGTCTCTGTGGAACGGCCTTGAAGCCTGACTGGTGGGGGTCAAGAAGGTTGTTATGGTGGAGATAAGAGAAGAGTTGGTTAAAGATTGCACGTTCAAGGGTTTTGGACAAAAAGAAGAGAGACCGGTCTGTAGTTGTTTTCTTCAGAAGGGTTGAGGGGTAGGTTTCTTCAGGAGAGGGTTGACTCTTCAGCCAGATAACAGAGCGTTGTTGATGAGACAGGTGAGGAAAGGAAGATGGTCAGGTGCGATAGATTGTAGAAGATGTGATGGAATGGGGTCAAGAGGGCAGGTGGTCCGACGGGCAGAGGTTACTAGGGTAAGCATTTGGTTAGGAGACAGGGGGGGTGAAAGAGGGAAGTGAGGGTGATAGAGGTGAAGTCACTGGGATGCAAGAAGTAGGAGGTGGGTTTGAGAAAGAGGAGCGTATGTCAGATATTTTCTTGGTAAAGTAGTACCCGGAAGAAGGGTGGAGGGGGGAGGAGGACCGGGGGGTTCGAGGAGGTCGGAGAAGATCGAAAAGAGTTTTTTGGGGTTTACTGAAGAACTCAACTGCACATTCAACCACATTATGATTATTCACATTCTGTGCACCTTCATAATTCTACTCTAGTTTGAATGTTTTATATCAGGCTAAAGTTGTTCAAAAAGAACACAACATATGTTCCGTAGCCATTCACGACCAGACAGTGGTGGTGTTTCCCTTTCACCACATATAAGGGCATTCAAACTTTCTGTTCATTCAATTTCACCGATACTTTCAACATTCCCTCGGGAAGCAGCAACTCTCCTATGTGTGTTTTCAACACTACATCAGTCTGGCGTAAACGTATCAGGGCAAATTTGGCTTTGTACAGCTCCATTGAAATCAAAGACACAGCTGCTCCCGTGTCAAGCTCCATATCCATAATCTTTGGCCTTATAATCAATGAAGAAGATGCTGCATTGCCTTTTCTTACTGCCATCACCGCCTCAGTGTCGCCTACTGCTGAAACCATATGCATCTTAATTAATATAATAATAATAATAATAATTAATAAAAAGTTTATAACTTGTCGTCTCAGAAGGTTCGAGGGTAACAGAAGTGATCCTTGATCAGAGGTTCAGAACTCCACACGTCTCAGCCTGAAATAATATTTCATGCTCCAGAGGTGAAGCATTTTAGATGGAATAAGAAGTTTAGCTTCTCTATAAGCATTTTATACGCTGATGACGTACACAGGAAGTCTCCCAGTGGACTTCAGAGACGCTCGGTTCAGCCTATACGGTCGTTGGAGGACACAACGCAGGTCGACTGCAAAGTCCTCATGAGGACGCAGCCCACCAAAGGAGACACAGCCACAGGTTGTGAGTCTGTTGGTGACCCACAATCAACACTTGGTTCAGAGCGCACTGCTGAGTGTAAAAAGACACCTGCATGCAAGTGATCAAATCCAACACTTGATGGCGACCTTCTCTCACACCCAACAGGAACGGACTGAGAGCGTCCCTAGAAAGGACAAGTCCTGAAGACATTTACATGACAAGAAGTGCACCTGCTGTCTCATGCTATGTGTGAAGTGGACTGTATCATAGTAGTTATTGAGGGACATGAGCAGATGTTCATACTAGCTGGCTGCGTTGGTGAATGTGACATATTTATTGAAAACAGCTCAAGTCGCCTTTGTTGCTCTAATAAATGTATTTCAGGATGAAGCTTTTTATTCAAATATCTATTTAGTACAATATGCAGCTTTGTTTCTTGTCACCAACACACACACACACACACACACACACACACACACACACACACACACACACGTTCATTTCCCAATAAAACGACTTAAAAGTCAAACTATAAAAATTAATTTCATACTAAGAACTTGATACCTGACTTACATGGTCTCCTTCTGTCTCTAAATGCAACTTACATCAACACCATTAAAGCCCTTTTGCCAAAACACAATCACACTTTACAGATGATATGTTTCAATTATTAAGCCAGTTTCTCACAGATCCATCGCAAAGCAAAGTAACACGACAAATCATTCCAGCTGTTTTGTGTCTTCGGGTCAGGGTTCATCAGAGCGCAGTCCCCCCCCCCCCCCCCCACTGGGGATTTCCTCCCCCGTTATTAGGCTCAACTACATTGCCTTCACGGTACCAGTACCTAAGAGGAGGATAAGACATTTCACAGGAGTGTTCTCTTCACTAACGCGGACAAAATAACATTCAATGAAGCTTAAAGTCTTTCCAGTAAAAAAAAAAGAGGAATAACATTTTCTAACAGAGTGAGTTTATTTCTTTGTGTAGTGCACAACAAATATTAGACAATTACACTAATAATAATAATAATAATAATAATAGGTGCAGCAATAGTTGTATATGTGTCGATCTTTAAATATTGTTGTGTGTCTTACGCTGCAGTCAGTGGAGTTCCATCAATCCATTTCCAGGTTACCTCGATGTCTTTGTCACTCAAACCAATCCAACTAAGACGTGTGATGATGCTTGAGAGGAATTTCTGTTGAAGATAAAAATAGATAAATTCTGTAATCATTATTTTAAATGTATTAAGGAGGTTTAATGATTTATTTTAAACATTGTGAAAAATAATTATATTACCAGCTCCATGTTGTTCTAATGTAGGTATTATAGCTGCTGAAAAGAAAATGACTTATCTGAATATTTGGTCTACATCAGTATTGACAAATATACAGAATATAGGCGCAGGGCATGAATACATAAAATAAAATATATCACAGAATGAAAATAATATGAACATCAAAAACAATTAAGTACTCAGATGTACTCATATTGTAGTGGCCAGTTGAGAAAACGCTTCATTTGACTCTAAATGGACCATAATTTACTAATGAACATCATGCTGGATTGAAGAAGACTTGAAACTAGAGACTGAGACCATAAACTCATGTTTACAATGTTTACTGAGGGAATAAATCAAGAGAGAAGTAGAGTCATTTCCTCATAGACGTCTATGGGAGCAGAGGAGTCGCCCCCTGCTGGTCACTACAGAGAAGTAGAGTCATTTCCTCATAGACGTCTATGGGAGCAGAGGAGTCGCCCCCTGCTGGTCACTACAGAGAAGTAGAGTCATTTCCTCATAGACGTCTATGGGAGCAGAGGAGTCGCCCCCTGCTGGTCACTACAGAGAAGTAGAGTCATTTCCTCATAGACGTCTATGGGAGCAGAGGAGTCGCCCCCTGCTGGTCACTACAGAGAAGTAGAGTCATTTCCTCATAGACGTCTATGGGAGCAGAGGAGTCGCCCCCTGCTGGTCACTACAGAGAAGTAGAGTCATTTCCTCATAGACGTCAATGGGATCAGATGTAGATGTAGTGACCTGCTGGTCACTACAGAGAATGCAGCTTTAAGACAAATTAGCTTTAATTGTCAAAGCCAGAGTTTGTCACAAGGGAAAAGTGAATATACCAATAAATAACACACTACCTGTTCTTCAAGTGAGTCTATGATCACCAGATCTGCTCCTTGGTCTCTACAGTCCTTTCTGCCATTTTCCCAGGAATCAGCCCGTGTAGAGAGAAGATAACAGGAGCAACTGAACATCCTCCACCCTCCAGGACATGTTTTCTCTGTAAAAGAAGAAACATATAACTTCGCACAAGTCTTTAAACTGAGGAAGTTGTGTGTTTTTGTTGACTCTCTATTTTGAGCTGTGGAGCGTCACTGTGACACACATCACTTTACTTTAATTAACATTCATTAATTACAAATACATTATTTTATTTTATATTGTACCCCTTGTCACAGTCCGGGCCAATAACCTTCCTCACTGCCTCATTTGTCTGCAGAGACTCCTCAGACCGACTATCAAAGCCATTATTTATTGAATCAAATGAGATCAATGTCATATTTAAATACATTTTGACTAAAAGCGCTAAAATAGATAAGAAACAGTGAAATGTACCTAAATATGTTGTGTGGTGTGTTTAAATGAAGTTTAGACAGGGCCAACAGACTGTACATATAGATTACAGAGCAGATTTATTTTATATATATATTAAATAATCATAACTCAGCAGAACACACACAGACCAGCACTCACTCTGTTTGCACAAGAGCTGAAGTCTGTCCTTCTCTTGGGTCAGTGCAGTGACTTTGTCCTTCAGCTGGTCTCTCTCTGCAGACACTGAGGACAGCTTGACTCCACTGACCTGGAGACGCTCCGCCAGGTTGGCTTTGATGGAGGGGAGTTCAGCATCTGATGCATGCACTGAGTCATGAAGACATGAAGACATGATTCAATACATCACTGTTGTGTTCTATATTACAGAAACATCCCATCATCTTTTCACAGGAAATAATAAAGATACTGAGCAAATGTTGTCATGACAACCAGCAACCTGAACTCTCTCAAATCTCAGGTTGGATGAAGACCAGACTCACCGTGGACACCGAGACAGACGAGTCCAGCCAGCAGGAGGACACTGAGCAGCCCCAGAGAGACAGCAACAGCCACATGAGGTCTGCTCCTTGGGCTGCTGGGACCTGGACACGTGAAGACCAGTCAGCACACTGGTCAGGAGAAGATGCACAGACTGATCATTCTTACCTGGGGCAGGTGTTGAAGGTCTTATGGAAACCTGAGACTTGTCGTATTCAACGTTAACGTAGATTTCGTCCATCGCTGTGAAGACGACCAGCTGTCCAATGATGAACGTGATGTTACATTACATGTCATTTAGCTGACGATTTTATGCAAAGTCATGTACAATAAGTTCCTTCAACCATATGGATAGGGATGTGGCTTTCAGCTTATGAATAATTTGACTTTTGAGGAAGTTTCAGTTTAAAGCAGAACAGCTGCATTGCAGTCTGCTCTCTCTGCTCTCAGTTCAGACCCATGAACACAGGGATCAATGCAATAAACAGGTGAAGAAAGCACAGATATTCCATCAAAAATCTTGGTTTAGGGTGAAAAAGAGGAGTTTGACTGGTTCATTAGTTGAAAAGCAGTCCAACCCGCTTCTCACTCAGAAGCCATGACAACCAGTGAATCACACGAAGGCAGGCAGGAGCAAGCGGTCATTCTTGCCTCCACAAACATAACAAGCACATCATATTACTGCTAATAATCTATATTTATTGTGACGTCTTAAGGCAGTAGTAGCCACACCATCTCAAATTCTTTAACACATGTTCCACTAAAAAGCCACTTCCTATTTTATTTACCACAACACACAAGTATTTGATTGAATGTGACAATGTAAAGCTTTGATTCCGTTAATTTAGAGGAAGTAAGAGTGGAGGAAAGTTCTCTTCTCTCACACCCAACAGGAACAGCGTGAAAACAATTCCCTCAAAAGGTCAGGTGCTGAAGTTCATCTATGTTTTGTTTCATTAATCTCGTGTTGTTACAAACAACATACAACGCAGCGATAGATTGTGTCTAGATCAACATGTGATGTGTTTATTACCAAATTACAATCCAATAACCTATCGTCATACTTACCGATATGAACACTGGCACTAGGACCTTGGGAGGCTGATGCCCTTTGCTTTCTCACTCGTCAACGACAGGCAGGATTTTTTAACGCTGGCCAACAAGGAGTTTGACTCAGTAAATGAGAACTACCATCAGATGGAACCACCATCAGATGGAACCACCATCAGATGGAACCACCATCAGATGTAGGCAGCGTGCCTGCAGATATTTACAGATCCACATTAATATAAAGTTTTCAGACCCTTTAATCTCTTTATGCAGGTTGAATAATAATTCTAAAAGGATGACAGAGAGGAAGTCAGGGGGGTCGAAGACTACGAAGGTCTTCCAAAGAAATGATAAAATGAGAAGGGATATTCTTCATGATTATACACACACACACACACACACACACACACACACACACACACACACACCAGCAAAGAACTTACAAAGGTGATTTCAAGATTCAATACAAGAAACTTTATAAAGCAAACAACATAAAAATAATACAAAAACTGTATTTTTTTGTAAGGTGTTCTTTACCTCATGTTTTTTATAGAACTTCAGCAGAAGAGAAGAAAGAGAAGTGGTAAAGAGAACGAAAGGCAGTGATAAAGAAGGATTTATATCTTCACATAGCGGAGAATGGAACTAAATATAAAATCAAACCACCACCACGCAATATACTAAAGTATTGTAATCAATTACCAATTCACGGTACAAACTGAAGGAAGAAGTTATATTTTAGCACAACCTTACGCCAGCTGTAAAATTGATCATGCATATTAATGCAGCTGTACACATTTATATATACTCCACTACAAGGACAAACCACTTATTCAAAACCCCACTGAAGTAAAAGTAATATGTAAAATGTTTTAAAAGGTAGTTATATATTGAAAGCAAGGCCAGTCGATTGGTGCGGTACCTTTAAAAAGTCACACATTAAACTCACATGTGACTGTTACCATGGAAACGATAGGAAGCATACAGATACAGATTGTGTGTCATTTGCAATAGTAGCACATATTTTTAGTGAATTAAGGCCGCACAAGGATTTGAATATTAGTAACATGAACATTAACACGAGAGGTTGCTGGTTTTCTCTCCGTCGAATACAGGTGAAGAAAACCCTTCTTTCAGTTTCATCTCATTTGTTTCTAAGCGGGAACGCAGCATCGGGGGGAAAAGATAGCAGAGCTCTGTTAAATGTTATTTTGCATTAAGAAAGATCCCGTTGCTTTGATGCAACTTTGTGTCGTCAAGAATATTAAAATATCTGGAAAAGAAGCAGCGCTCGGTTTAAATGGCAAAGAGCACTGCCCAGATTGTCCCTATGACCTGGATCTCCACACTACACAAAATAAGACGTGATTATCCCGTTAACATGGATGTGTGCACATGTAAGAAGACAATTAGAATCAGCACTCATGGCTGAGAAACGAAGCTAATGTCGTTAGCTGAGGCCGTTCAGAGGGCCAGAAGCTGCAGCTTCAGCCCCCTGAGAGCGGAGAAGGGGGGGAGGCCCTCGAAGCCCAGCAGCTGCCGGGTGGAGGTCTCCCAGCTCAGACCAAACTCCAGCCGGCTGTAGACGCACGGGTACCGGCGGTCCGCCCAGCAAACCCAGTGCACCGCCCGCTTCACCTCCTCCCAGCGCGCCGGCCTGGCCGGGAAAAAAAAAAGAACCACAGGTTTAAACCGGGAGGAACAGAAGTCCTGATAAGGGACAGAGTGCGTCTCACAGACCTGGGCGGGGGGGACTCGTCCAGGCTGAAGAGCGTGCGGAGCAGTTTGCCCTCCTCCAGCTTCTCCACCCTCATCAGCTGCAGGACCAGAAGGGTTGCCAGCAGCCTGAGGATGTCAGTGTGGGCCCTCACACCTGCAACACGACCACGGTGTTTGCAGAATAACACAGTTATCGATCCGTAAGTACGAAAAACCCACAAGGGTTAATAATATTGCTCAGCGCGCAACACAAACTGAGCTATGGCGATATTTCCATAGCCTCTCCTCTTGTATCCAAATAATATAAATATAGCGTAGGCGTCAACAGATATTTTCAGGTGGCTAAAATAAGTTAAATGTTTACATTGGTGCATTGTGGTACTTTGAGTTAAATGCAATGTGTGAATAAAAACAGACCCCCTCTCTCCAGAAAGCTGTCAGAATCGATCAAAAGGATGTGAAACCAGTTCCCACTGGAGGAGCGACACTGGTCGGGAGTCCTCACCTAGAGACCGGATGCCCTTGTTTTTCAGGAACTCGTTGGCGAAGAGGTCTACGTCGACATTGACGAGTTCACCCAGCTGTGTGGTCAACTCCCAGAAGCCCTCCTGCAACACGGACACATTCTTTATGCTTCACCTCCCGGATGCTCAGGGCCAACGATTACACCACGTTGGTTAAACGTGGCTGTCAGCAGAGCGCCGCTAGCGGGACGCACCTGGACGTCGCTAAAAGAGCTGCGGGAAACGCTCAAGTTGAATTTAGCGAGTTCTCCAGCGTGCATTCATTTGGGATTTTGTAGCTTACCGAATGTTGCATCAGGAAGACGTTTGTCCACTTGAGACGGAGCCGTTCAGGTTCCGCTCTCGCACCTCTGAGACAACAAGCGACAAACGGCCGTTTCACAACAATCATTATCGGGTTCGAGCGCAAAATAATTATGTGAGGAAATGACTTTGGACTCACATCTGGGGTCGACGATGTGACGCAGATCTGTGCTCCATTGAACACCGCCTGTCACTCACATACAAGCCATAAACCGCTGGCAAGTTTGAAGCTATTCCTGAACTCGAGAGACGTCTTGCTCTGCGAGATGGAACCGGAGGGCCGACTGTCATTGGCTGATCTTGTTTGAGGGATGGGAATTCAGCCATTGAGCCATCGCAACTGGAACCTAAATAGGACTGTTCTGGACCTGCGATCAGACTTGCGAGCCGTCTTGATCGTGCCTCGACCTGTTTAAACAGCTTCTTTTTTGGGGACTGAACAGAGTCCGCAAGGACACGCAACTGTTGCTGTTGGCTGGAAATATCTGGGGACGGCGAGTCGAGATTAGTTGCCAGGAAGCACGTTTCCAGATCACTTTCTAATCTCTCGCCAGGACACTGAGGCTCATCCTCAACGCCCCCCATGCTGCTCCACGGGGTGCGAACCTCTACTGAATCGATTAGAACGGAACCTGCAGGTTGATTGACAGGTTGTAACCCTGAGAATGCTGAACCAAAGGCCAGGTCTGACCTGGCAGAACCATAATGGGGCCATATTGGGTGGTGGGCTGCAGGTTGGGGTTCCCCAAGTGAACCTAGGAACGGACGAGGAGGAGGAGGAGGAAGGACGTGGAGGGCTGCAGATTGGGGTTCCCCACATGAACCTCGGAACGGACGAGGAGGAGGAGGAAGGAGGGCTGCAGGTTGGCGGTTCTTAAGTGAAATTCCGAACAGATGAGGAGGAGGAGGAGGAGGAAGGACGTGGAGGGCTGCAGATTGGGGTTGCAGAAGTGAACCTCCGAACGGACGAGGAGGAGGATAATAAGAAGAAGAAGAAGCAGAAGCTGGAGGATGACAATAGGAAACTTCCTCACTGTCCACCTCCTCTCTGACCTTCTGCCTTTCACTCCTCCTTTTCAAGCAAACTGCACCCTGCAACAAAAGAGAAGTGAAGAGAAAGTACTCAGTCTGCTCAGTAAATGAGAACATCACTAGCTTTTCCTCACAGATAAATGGATTTCTATATAATCAGTCACATTGCTCTCACATTCGATGCCTCAGACTTGTGAGTAAAGGGTGGTGAACAGGCTGGAGAGATGCTTTCAGTCATCTGAGGAACGGAACATCAGAGGGACAAATAGTAAATCACAACAGCAAAACGCCCCCCCACACGATGACACTACACACTGTGGAGCGTTACCATTATATCGTCATAACATGCGTTTGGATAATAATCCTCCTCCACATCACTGCTGAGCTGTAACAAGAGAGACAAATGCAGCTTATAAAAGTGTCATTAAGTCAATCACAAGATCTTCCCACATGATTACACTTCACCCCGTGTGATGTTGCCATGTCTCCCAAGAAGACATCCGTCCCCTCAACATCCATTTCTACCTGGAACAGAGAGACAAATGCAGCTTAAAGTGAGTATCGGTAAATCACAACCACACAGCGGGATTACACGGGTCAAGTTACCATCGATAGACAACAGCCAACCGGGGACTCGTCTTCACTAGGAGACGTCCGGGTCCAGTCGAGGTAGGGGAGGAAGTCCACGTCTTCCTCTGAGATCAGCTTGGGGATGTCGGTGACGCCCTCCTCGGTTTGTGTCGAGTTCTAAGACGAAGGAGATGAGTCGGGTTTTGTTCACTCACTACAGTGCAGGGTGTAAACAGGGGGGGGACGGGGACGGGGGACGGGGACGGGGGACGAACCCTTTCCTCGACGGCCACGAAGCTGGTGAACTGAGACAGGATGGAGAACTCTTTGCTTAACTCGACGATGAATCGCTTTAGCTCCGCTTTCCTCCCCTGGAGAAGTAAAAAGGCAGCAGTGAATGACAGGTCTGAACTGTGGGGGGGGGGGGGGGGGGGGGGGGGGGGGGGGGGGGGGGGGGGGGGGGGGCACTTTTAGAGTAGACTATTGATTGAGAATGAATCGTCTACGTTTGTCCCTGGAGAGGGGCCCGAGATCATGTTTTGTCCTGCCGTCTTGATTTAGAATCAGTGCACAAAACACGCACCTCGTGCTGGGCTTCGTCGCCGTCCAGGCTTCCGTCTTCGTGATCCCTGATGAGAGCCCTCGCTGTGAGTTTGTGAAGAAACTGAACAAACACCGGCAGACACACGTTATGACCCTCGAGCACACAAAGGCTTTCACATACTACCAACAGGCAGGCGGCTCATCTGGCGTGTTCTACTCTGCGTGGTGTTACCGTGCCCCTGGTCTTCTGCAGCTCGCTGGTCGACACCATGGTGTTCAGCTCCTGACCGCTCAGGTTTCCGCGCAGAGTGGCCTGCGGGAGGCATCCATTGCATCACGTTGGGCGATCACATCACAGCCCGTTTAAAATGGAAAAAAAAACAACCCCGGCAATTTGCTGCCTGGCATCGTTTTTCTATCTGCCGTTTGCGGACGGCTCCGAGTGCACAAACCTGCGTGCAGTGCGGCACGAAGCCGTAGACCAGCGCGTGGCAGTCGTTGAACAGCGCGGGGAGCTGCCGGGGCGCTTGGACCGGAGAGGCCGCCGTCGGGCTGAACTGCTGCCACTTTACCGCCACCGAGCTGCAGCCGGGGGAAGCCATCCGCTTCACCTGCCGCGCCACCTGCCGCCGGAAGCACCGTTTCCATCGATCGTAAAGAAAGGCATCCAGAGGGGAACGGTGGGGGGGGGGCAGACAATGTGCTACACGATCACCTGTGATTAGTCAATCATTCATTCTCACCTTCTCCGCCCAGTTGTGTTTGGTTTTCGTGTCAAAGAATTCATAGGCTCCGCCCCCCGCCTGGGCCAAGGCTCTCAGCATGTGCCGATTGGCTGTAGGGCTGAAATCACCAAAAAATATACACATATAAATGCGTGATGCTCAAGAGTGGTGACGTCTGACCCCTCGACCCGCCCCTCCCCCCCACCTGAGGCCGCAGGCGAAGAGGCGGCTGCGGCCGGCGCCGTCCCGGAGCAGCCGCAGGGCGAGCTCGGCGTTCTGCACGTGGCCGTCCGACAGCAGCAGGAGGTTCCTGACGCCGCGGGACGGGGGCAGCAGGCCGAGGGCCCTCAGGGGCCGCCACAGCTCGGTGCCGCCCCCTACAGGAGGGGCGAGCTGAGGGGGGAGGGTGGGGTGGGGGGGGAAGAGGAGAACACATTCTTTGTTTTCAGCCTAATATTACAGCAAAGCTTTGACAGGATGCGTCACCACTCACCTTGACCACGACCTCTGCGTCCGCGCGAGCGTCACCGAGCGGCCGAGCCGTCGGGAAAGCTTCCGTGTGGTCTGGTAAAGGAACATGAGCGCATTAAAGACCAGGCGGGGTTCTGCGGCGTCGGTTTGGTTCATCGAGAGGAAACTGATGACGTTTCGAATCATTTTATCACGTTTACCACACTTTAGTTTTACATATTTTTTATTTTCATGTCGGCCTCGTTTAGCTTCATCCTCGACGCGATGTCGTTTTATGTCGTCTCACATTTCCAAATTGCACTTTTTAAACGCCACAGCATAACTTGATGTTAAATCTTAAAATGCTCAAACCGACCCGTGCCGAAGAAGAGCACGTTGACCCTCAGGTGGCTGCCGAGGGTTTTGAGGACCTGCAGGGCGATCCTCCGGGCGGCGAGGAGGGGCTCTCCCTTCATGGACTCAGACGAGTCCACCAGGAGGACCACCTCATCGGGGGCCGACGAGGACTCCACCTCAAAGTCCGGATAGAACACCAACATGCAGGCCTGGAGGACACACCCACTCACTTATTCTATAAATATTCAGTGGGCTCTGCGCCGCTTCTGACAGAAGACCAGCGGGACGGACCTGGCTGTCCTTGTCGGGGTGTTTCTCCACCCACATCCTGGGCAGGTGCACCTCAGACAGAGTGATTGACAGCTGGAAACCGTCGACACCCATGAGCTCACCGGGCAGCACGCTCACCACCGCCTTGCAGTCCGTCCTCTGTGTGACGCACAACGGATAAAGCAGCCAAACGACCTTTTATTGTATAAAACTATGCGACAAATCTGCATTATAAGATGTCAGAACACAAATTCTAAGACTTAGAAGGAAACAAAACAATGTGCTCAACTCATGCAGTCATCGTTCCAGCACTAAAATGGAATTAAGACAGCTTGACTCCTTTCTCAGAACTAGATCGAATACATAACTAGATGGAACTATTCATTAAATTAGTCATCAGCACTTTCCGCTTCATTTATAAACTTCCAAAGAAAACGGTAAAAGTACCAGACGAGCGGTGAGGCGATTAAACTCCGATGACTTCATGATGCAAACAGCAGATTACCTTGATCCTGACTCTGTGAGTGATGCACTGCAGGTCGGTGATCTTATTGGGCATCTCGACTGACATGTCCAGCGTGAACTCTCTGCGGGAGACAACCAGCACGTCGCGGAAACAAAGCCATCAACGCACGAAGGGCACGTTCAGAGTCACGCTGCAGGAATACAGATCAAACATTCATTGCGTGATCAAAAGCGCACAACGTAGCTCACCTGTCCTCCTCAAACATCACACACACCTTCTCCACAGTCACCTGTTGAAAGAAATGGAAACTGCTGCGACATTCACACGTCATTGATTCAATAGAAGAAAAACACACAAACATCCAGCAAATTTAAATGTTGCATTTTTAGTGCGAGTAAATATCCACTCTTCCCTTCACCGGTCACCGGTCACCGGTCATGTGACTAAACGTCTCTTTGAACCGCGTTTGTTCTCACGCTGATCCAGAAGTCTCTTCTTCACAGCTTCGGTAAGTCCTGGAGGTGAGAACGTTTGTACCTGTGGCCCCGCCCTCACCTGCGTGGTCTGGTTGAGCGCCGCCCCTTCCTGCCACGGAGCCACGCTGCCGGGCAGAGAGAAGAGCACGCTGCCGTCCCTGACGACCAGCTCGCACACGAAGGTGACCTTGATGAGGACGGAGGCTCCGGGCGGCAGGTTTCCCACGCTGATGGTGAACACGTCCTGCAGGGAGCACGCCGAAGACGTCACAGCCATAGCGTGCATTTATTTATTTGAACATATCTGGTTATTGGATACAAAAAGGCCTCTGAGGTCTGTAGAAAAGTTTATTTTGATTTTATATGTTCTTTTAACTATTTTTTTTCCTGTCATTACAAATTAAAGTATCATAAGTAGGAATTATCCGGGCGAGAACATTAAGGATGTTGTATGCAAGTATGGATTTCAGTGCTGTTATGAAACCTCTGGCCCATCGATCGGTCTAACTCCAGATGTTGCGCGCTGGCTGCAGCACAGAGACGCGTGTTTGAGTGCAGCGTACCGGGGCGTCCTGGTCCATGAGGTAGGCCCCGTGGCCTTTCTCCACAGCCTGCTTGTACTCCTTCCGAGCCGTCTCCTTCTCCTTCACCTGAGATCCAATCGGACACACAAAAACAAACTGATTCCTAGAGAAACTGATTGTGACCTCAGACCGATAAGACGTGTCAGATGACCGGAGATGTACAGCGTGATCTGTGAGCGGTTACCTGTCCCACCACGTGCTTCCCATTGATGAAAGCTTCAAACCCACAAACCGCCGCAGAATCGTCCAATGGGAAGACGTACTTGGCCTCGATGGGGGCGGAGCCCCGGTTGGTGTATTCTTGGAAGACGACGACCTAAAAAGGAGCCGGTGCACTCAGCAGTCGGTTAGCGGCTCAGACGAAACCACTTAAAGAAAAAGCTGAGTCAGTGTGTCTTTTCTCACCTGGGAGAGAAGATCCATCAGTTTGCACCTCACGTGCACGGCCCGCAGGGGGAGCTGCTGACCCGAGCCGTCCAACAGTCCGGCCTTCGCCTCCGCCAGCGGGTTTCTGATGCTGCCAACGTCTTCCTCATCATCCCAACCTGCACGCACACACACACACACACACACACACAGTGTTTCACACTGATAAAGAACACCGCATGCTTCACTGAGGGGAATCTTTTCGAGCTGTAGTCGGCCGCTCACCTCGGTCACAAGAGGGCGGAGCCGGCTGAGCCGAGGTGTCGATGGCCGGGCTGAACTCCTTCAGACGGTCGCCCTCGACCGCGAACTGAACCACGTACTTCAGTTTCACCTGATCGGGACTGTAGACCACGTACTCATCGTCGTGGGGGGGGGGGGTGAAGAACGGGACCACAGCGCGTCGGACCGAGAACCTCCTTAAGACGAAGTCTATAACGAGCTTACGCTCCTACCTCGAACTCGGAGGGGGCGTTGGGGCCGCGGCGGACGCCGTGCACGCTGTGGTGTCCCTCGGGAGCCCGGGTGAGCGTGACGTCCCCCTTGTGCTCGTCCTTGCAGCGTCCCAGCGCCACGTCGCACACCAGCAGCAGCCGGGAGCCGTCCGTCTCGCTGGGCTTGGAGTATTTCAGGCTGGTGCTGAGGACAGAGAGCCGTGTCCCCTCCTCTCAAAAATGTCCTTCTGTGGATATCGTTGTTGTTCGGGGCCACACAACAGCATTGCGCAGGAATAAACCAACCTGACGGCATCACTGAAGTAGATTCCGCTGCCCAGGCTACCGACGTCGGTCCTCTCTATCCCATGATGCTCCACTCCGACACGCGGCAGCAGCAGGCCGCTGACATTTGAAAAAAATGAAAGAAAAAGAGGAGATTTTCACTTCTGAAATGTAGTTTCATCTGCTTACGCTTCACAGCACAGGGGATACACATTTAGTCAGATTAAACATTTGGAATGTTCACCAAGCATAAACACCTAAATCCTTAAACACTGAAAGAAAAAATCATGAATGATGAGAATATTAATAGAAACAAATTAACAATAATTACATAAAAAAGAAAGAAAGAAAAAATGCTTGTGGAGCCATTCATAAGCAAAATACTAGATGTACTAAAAAAGTACTAAATGATTTATCATGGAAGTGTTTCGTGTGTTTGTGTGTGTGATCTCACCGAGACAGGACCCCCACAAAGTTGCTGGGGCTGGAGGAATGGAGGAGGGGCTTAATGTTCCCCAGCTCGCTCTTAAACGCCTGAAGCTCCGCCCCCCTGCTGACGCGCAGAACCCGCTGGACGTGCACCCGGCTGCAAGCACCGGAACACGTGTGTAAACTGAGATATGTTTAAATCAAAGTGCGTTCCTTTGGTCTTCGGACGCAGGGGGGCGGAGCCTGAGGCGGTACGCTACCTGTCCCGCACCAAAGCGGCCACGGCCTGAAACTCGGGGGAATCGGGGGGGACGGCGTCGATGCTGCACCTCATGGCGCGGTACTTCCCCAGGGAGGAGGGGGCGGAGCTCCCCATGGTCATCTCGCTCACGTTCAGAACATCTCGGATCAACTGGACGGAGGGAAGCGGCGTGTTGGCGTGTAGAGCACAGGTGAGGTTATGTCTGTCTTGCGCAGGAGCCAACGATGCATCGCTTACATCGACTGGATTGTGCATCGATCACAAATAATAATCAGAGGGTTTAATTCCCAAACGTTAAAATGTGATCAACGCAGACTTAAAATGTCACGTTCTCTCACAATAAACAATTATTTACCCTTATTGCTATGGGATTGTGTGGTTCTCTACGTGTCTTAGCGTGTGTGTCTAAGCGTGTGCGTTACCTGGCACAGGTCCAGTCTCTGGGAGATGAGCCTGGCAGTGGGAGGAGTCTGGGAGGGCGCCACGTGCAACAGAACGGCGTGAACCTCATGAAGGAGCGACGCAACCTCAGAACCATCCGCCCCCCTCAGCTTGCTGTGAGCCTGGAGCAACAAGCCCTCGGCCCTGCTGACCTACGCGCACACACAGACACGCACACACACACACACACACACGGGGGCGTTATTGTACGGATGTTGCCCTCGGGGGGGGGGTTGAAGGCGAGGAGGCAGAAGGCAGAAGAAGAAAGCGTACGTCGTTGAGGCTCAGCTTGTGGATGGGTACTCGGAGGATGTTGCCGAGGCGACCCAGGGCCTCGGTCCACAGCAGCTCTACGAACACGCCCACTTCCTGCGATAAGCTTCCCGTGTTCAGCCTCTCCTCCAGCAGCAGCTGCAAATTGGCTCGTTGCGTTATTTACTATTGTGACACCGCGTGTTCACATTTAAAAAGGAAAATACAAACACTTTAACCCGAATAACGTCGGACCTGCTGGAGGGGGGCAGAGCCCAGGTGGGGGGCTTGTGGGGGAGTGCTGGTCCTGGGCTGCAGCCCGGCGGCCTGCAGGCTCTCTCGCTGGGCCTCGTACACCTCCACAGCGTCCTCGGACGCCGACAGGAAGACCAGCGCGTCCCTCACCGCCGCCGCCTGCCCGCACAGACACACGCAGCGGCTTTTCAGCCTCCACAAGGTGACACTTCACAGGCAGACTTGATCACTACCAACGCGTAGGACGTTGCTTCCCACCTCGGCCGACACGTCGTCCTTCCAGTAGCGGACCACTCGGTACCGACGTGCGCCCTCCCCCGCGTGGCTCTGCAGCTCCAGCACGCACCAGGCGCCGCCGTTTCCCTGCCGGGGAAAACCAGATCAGCGATGCAGCGGCTGCCACTCCGGCGCCTCCAGCGGCACGTCTTCAGGAGGGAATTACCTTTTCAAAGACGCAATACTTTGCCACTTGAAAGTTGAGCGGATACTTCGGGAGATCGGGATCGGTTTCGGTGTAAATTCTGTCAGACAAAAATGCAACGATCAATGCAGCGTTACGTGAGACTTTCATGGTGTGTTTTCTTTTTGTTTGATGAATAAATGGCATCAGATTCCTCTTCAGAGGCACAGCGCTGACATTTAAGACAACAAAAAACACACGGCCGGTGGCGCCCCACGCCGTGCACACCTGAACTCCTCCCGCACGCCTGCACTCAGCGCCCTCTGACCCGGCCCGACTGACCCCTGGCTCGGCTCGACCGGCGGTGCTGCCAACGCTGCGACACAGAACACACAGAGAAGGTGAACGAGGACGCGCCTCCTGACGGCGAGAAGGACCCCGAGTCGTGGAGCGCGGATGATTGTCAACCATGAGGAGGATACCGTGGCGTGGGGTGGCGGCGGCGGCGGCGGGGCAGGCGGGAGGAGGCGAGGAGGCCTCCAGCTTGTAGTCGTCCGCGGGCAGAAGGAAGCCTCTCTCCAGGCAGCCGTACACGTAGTCCACCCCCACCACGGGCGTGCCGTGCCTCCGGATGCCACGCAGACGACTGGCGCTCAGGTCGGCCAAATTGCCGGTCACTACCAGAGAGCACTGTGGGTAAAAAGACCAGGGAGTCTATACATAGATACATCTGTATCGGTGAGTTTGGTTAATAAACCTGGTGACCATCGTCCGACCTGCTTGTTGACCACGTAGCAAATCGTGCCTCCGTTGTCCGTGACCGCTGATCTCAGCTTCCTCTTCTCCGTGGGGGTCAAAGCTTTGAGCTCCAGGAGCAGGAGGGAGTGCTCAAACACGGCCATGTCTGATGGGGGGGGGGGACATGATCAATGTCTGACCGGGGGTCCCTCCCGCTCTCTTTCTCCCCCCAGGCCCTCCCCCCTCCCTCACCATCTCAGTGTGAATGGCATAAATATCTGATATGTGTCATGGGTTACTAAGTAAGAACAATGACACATAGCCACACGCACGCGCGCGCGCACACACACACACACACACACACACGCGCGCGCGCGGACTACCGGGAAACCAACGCGGAAGCGACTCCCATACGCTAAAACAGGCCACAATGTAACAACTTTTTAAAAGTTTTAAACCGTATAGATTTTATATCTACGCATAGCTGTCAAATGTATTTTGACATGACATATTTCATAAAACCATATCGAGAAACAAGTGAAGGTAACCGACAGAAGCCCCATAAACTGTAACGTGACGTTAGATGTTTTTCACCGTAACACAAACGCAATGACACTGATAATAAAAGTAGCAGTTGACGTGGGCGTTTCCAACACATTTAACTTCCGGTTAGGTGAATGAAATAAGGTTTACTAACTGATAGACGCAGACGGCTGTCAGAGTTCAGGTGAACTGTTGTCCTCGTATCGGTTGAAGAGAAGGAAAAGGTGCTCACTGCTGCGGGGACACTTTTCCGTAAAGGTATTTGCACGCTCGGTTTAACTTCCGGTGGCTTCCTGTTTCAAAATAAAAGACTAACGTTGAAGTGAAATGAAATGCGGTGGTGGAACAAAATTCACAGATTAAAGGGTAGTAACAAGCCATGGGTTATAAATGCAATGTAAGTCGCTTTGGATAAAAGCGTCAGGTAAATGTAATGTAATACATGCATAAAGAACATCCTATATAAATATATAATAAAAATATGTTATGAATCCTACATTCTAATAAATGCATGTTGTTAGTCAATGTTAATGTTTCCCTCTAAAATGTAAGTAAAAGTGTTAAATAAATGTAGCTTGGTGAATCCTACTGAAATGTAAGTTTAAAAAAAGTATAAGATAATTGTATGGAAATATTCAAATAGAATTCTACAGCATACGTTAGGAAATGTAGGTCAGTATTCACCCTATAATTCTCTCTCTAATAGTGAGCGATTGTGACCATTTTAACCTTAAAATCCTGCTGCGTTTTGTACATCAAATAGCTTCAGGTAAACGTAGTAGACAGACCGTGTTTGCGCGTATTAACCCATTACGCGCTGATTTGTACCTCTGAGAGAAAATAATGTCGTTTCAACGACAACGTGCGTGCACCAAGGAGAAGTAGAAGGTCCCAGAATGACTTCCCAGAGGGCGACGTTTTTCCATCATGCTTTTATGCTGAAAGGTGTTTTTCATTGTCAGCTGCTGTGACCTGACAGTCAGCTGACTTCCGGGTTCAGAGATGACGCAGCGGGTAGAGGAGCATGCTGCCCTCCTCCGGACGGAGAGCCGCACTGCAACACGGACACACCGGGAAAGAGTGCGGCTGTGTGTGTGTGCGTGTGCGCGCGCGTGCGCGCGTGTGTGCATCCAGAAAAAAAAAAAATTCTAATTGATTTGTGTGTTGCGGGGTTCGACAAAAGATGAGTGAGCTGTGGAACACGTGGGATTTGTGTCCTAAAACAATAAACACTCCGGAGGAGAGATCGGAGCGCATCCATCACGCCGGAGGAGACGCGCCGATTCGGATCGACAGCGCGAGCCGCGGGAAGCCGGTTCATCACCGCGGGAGCGTCCTCCCGCCATGTGATGGATCCACTGTCGCACACCTGTAGCATCCGGGTACTGCGGGCATTCGTTTTACTAATGATCATTAATGATCATGCGTTAACCCTCTAAGACAAACAGCGGCTCCCCGTCTGCAGCAGGTGGGGCCCCTCAGTGTGCGTGGTGACACGGCCCCCCCCCCCCCGTGCACTCTGCACTCCTCAGCAATGTTGTACGTATAGACTTTTGAATATATACTTATATATTGTAAAGATGTTGCAATATAGATATAAGATAAGATGATACTTATTTTTTATTCTTATATATATATTTATTCCCTTTTCTTAATTTCTTTTTCACTTTCTGCAGGTTTTCAAAAGTCTTTTATCGATTTTCCATCATTCACATGTTGCATCTATACTAATATTTTGTCGACACGTGTGCACGAGGAGTTTACACGTGTGTGCACGTGTGTGTTTTCCAGCACTCTGGTGAGATTTTATGCAGCATTTTATGGTGGAAATGTTTTCATTTGTGTAAAGACACAAAACCCAGAAGAACAGAGTGGATGACTCCTCATGAGTCTTTCCTGTGTAACCTCCTCACATTGCTTTTGATTTATAAACCTCTGAACTTAAACAGCATATTTCTTCCTTTATCAGCATGGCGTCCTCCCTGCAGTCCACACGCACAAACACTAAGACACAATTATGAACACAACAAAGGTCGTCTTATTAATATAAGAGTACCACAGAGAAACAAAAGGCTCATTATTATAGCAAACGTCATAGGCCAAACACAATAGTTGCTTTGCAAAGAATTCTTTGCAAACTTGATTATTTTTCTTATTCATACATTTAAATTGTAATCCAATTTAATGAACACAAATCCGCGTGAACCTAAATGATGCATCCTTCGTTTTAACACATTACAGAGCATTTAAAAACAGTTCACGATCTCTGCCAAAGGGGATTTCTATTGTTTTAGATCTCACGTCTGTGTCATCTTGGAGAATAAAGCTTTTATCTAATATGAACAAAATCACACCGTTTCCAGAAAGAAGCTGTATTATGTTCATAATAAAGTCGTAATTGAATGTGAATATCGCTGGTGTTCTTTAGGATGAGCTGGTCCAGCCCTGCAGTCCCCCCGGCGGCCACTGGGAGGAGCTCCGGCTCCTGTGGTCCCCCCCCCCACCCCTGGCCCTCCGACCACAGACACGGCGGGTGGCGGTTAGCGGGAGGATTTCATCCCTCTTTTGGGAGCCACATATGGTCATGATTTCCCTGAGTACTCGTCACCAGCCCACAGAGCAGACATTTGTCCACCCGACGGATTCCACTCATGCAAAGAAAGCAGAGCACATTAGAGCTCCTCCTCCTCCTCCTCCTCCCTCATCGGCCCGCTCCTCCTCCCCCCTCGCCGCCTCCTGCTTTAACGCTTCCTGTGTTCGATGCCACCTGTCTGCTCCCTTTCTCGCCTCCGCTGGATGCTGGAGTCCAAAATGGAGGAGACGATTACTGCGGCGTGTTAGCTGTGTTGCACCATCCGCTTTCATCTCACCTCCTCTGTCTGCGTACAAAGTGCTCCACGGAAACGGGATGTTCTGAGACTCCCGTCGGGAGAGAGGTGACGCTGCGGTTACACCTTTTGAATAAGCTGTGTGAACTCATTTTCCATTACCGGCTGAGCTAATGAGCTGAGCTTTCATGTCCGTCCGAGCCGCACGCAAAGAGGCTCCGAGAGCCTTAATCGTTGGCGTTTATTCCCTCGGAGGCCTTGAGAGTGACCAGCGGCAGCATCTTTCCGCCTGGCTCTCCTGCCGAGGCGCCGGGCCGACCAGCCGATGCGCCGCGGACACACGTTGGGCGGCGCCCGCTTCCGTTTGTGACCTTCACCTCAAAGTGAGACACACATACCGACAAATATAAAAAAATGACTACGAGGAGACACAAAAAGATAACAGGGACTCGAGAGAACCACAAAAAAGGGGGCGAATGACTGTAAAGAGACACAAAATGACTGTAAAGAGACACAAAGCGGCTACGAATTGATATGTGCTGCTGCAAAGAGTCACGAGGACACACAACAACGGTCCTGCGGGTCAAAACAACCACGTGGACACAGGACATGAGACACTACGTGACTACAGGGACACACAAAGCGATTCCAAATGACACAAAGAGACACAAGAAAAGAGCGCGAGGAGAGACGCTGTGAAACGCGTGACTGTACATTGACGGTAAATCACTGTGAGCTGCGGTGACACTTTAAAAGATTTAAACGTCCACACACAGATTTACTTCACAGCCAGTGATTGAACAGTGTGTCTGTGGTTATATCACAAGAAACACACAACACTCTGCTGCCGCACAGTAAAGTTCACGCCTGGATTTCCTGTGTGGAAGCGTCCCGTGCGCGCTGATTACACATTACGGGAGTACGCTGTCGTTAAAAGCTTGTGAAGTCATAATCATGTCGTTTGTTGGGAAATCTTGAAGCTAAATGACGGTTCGGCGCCGCGCCCACGCCACGGCAACGCCGTTCGCCTGTTCACACGCCTCCGATCACCAATCGCGTCCTCGTTTCGTCTCCTGCCTCACATGCCAGACCCCCCTATTCAGACGGAGCTCCCGTTGAAGACCCCGCCTGCCCGCCAAGTCCATTTGATGCGTAAGTGGTGTTTAATCACACAAGCTCAAAACGGTGCTTTTTAGCACCTTGTGAATACAGAGCCCCCCGCCACCCCCCCCCCATCCCCCCCGCGGTTCATCCCATGTGTTCTGACAGCCGATTGCTTTGCACACTGCGATGACCACGATGTTTCCGTGCAGAGAGGAGGAGACAGAGGAGGTGTTGGGACTGAAAGGGAAAGCTTTCATGTTTTGAAGTTGGGGGGGGGGGCGATTGTTCCGTTTTAAATCCTTGTTGACATCTATTTCCATTTTCCAACCGGCGTGCTGGACGGGACCAGGCCGGCCGTGAGCCGACGGCTGTGAGTTCCGAAGAAAGGAGAACACACAATCTCAGTCTGTCAATCGCAGAGGCGTCGTCCAAACGCCGCGATCTCAATCTCAAAGCGCCGGTTTTCATTGTTGATGCCCCAACTCTTTTGGGGGATTGAAGTTGTTCTCCCCCATCGCGGGGAGAAGACGTTTGTTCACTTTGCAGAAGCTGAAGCTGATGAACCACTGGGGATTATGAAATGAAGCGTCGCGCATCGTTCTCAGTGAGCTTGAGAAGGAACTTTCCCCTTTTTTGTGTTTCCAACGCACAATTTCTTCCTCTGAAGAGTAAAAAAGATCATTTCAGAGGCGCTGCCGGGACGCTCTCTTTTCTGCACTTTTCTCGGTCGGATCGTTTTCCTCCACTGAGTCATTTTTTGTATTTTACCTAAAAAGAACACCTGAGCCACGCCTGCCTGCGCTGTTAAAGGTCTGTTCAGCGGAGCACAGCGGTGCGTAACCACATCCAACGGACATGCGGGTTCTATTCAACATGTTTGAGGGGCAGCAAAGGAGAATAACGGCACAAATAACTGAACAAAAAGCAGCTGCTGCAGATCCCTTCATTGTGCTATTTTTCTCGGAGGACGCCACCACGGGCTCCGGATGAGATGAATGGAACGCTTTCAGGTGACTGCAGAGCTGTTATTTATCACTGAACTCCATTTAACTGATAAACAAAGCCTGCCGACGGACAATGAGCTCCCTCGTCGCAGTAACAGACAACCGTCCGACGCCGTCGCGGTCGTGCATCGCGGCGCGGCGATGAAAGCCCCGTAGATAACGCGAAGGTACCAGACACCTCTGGGGAACCAGGTCGCTCAAATTCATTTCAGAGATTCACAGTCGGACAAAAGCCCAGCGAGCGGTGAAATCTGACTCCTCCTGCCAAACGCTGTTAAATTGGCTCATTTTCTCTGCGCTCCCACTCGCTTGCCAGTTTTATGATAACGTATTCAATATAAAGCTGGCGGCA